CTTGCACTGCTAAGAGATGGCTGCACCATTAAGGCAATAGACATAGCCGGTGTGACTCTTACGATCAGCTGAATCTCCAGCATAATCAGAATCACTAAAGCCCACCAAGTCAACATGAGGCTTGTTCATCGCCCAGCTGGAGGGGCAACTGACGCACGGGCGACGAGGAGACGGCTACCAACTACTGCAACCGAGCCCGACGGATTCTCGCCACCATGAGGATGGCTGGCGCATAGTACTCGATGGCGTCGTACGTCACCCATGTCATGCAGGGACTCTCGAGCAGCTACAACCTCCTGAAACGGCTGTCCATGGCGCCGAGCACGAGGACGACGCTCAACGAGGGCAACTTGACCTCGTACATCCTGCAGGATGAGGCGATGCGGGAGGCAGAGCGGTCCCATGAGTTCTTGGTGCAGGCAAACTGCGTCGCCCCGGGGAAGCAAAGTGGCCGACCGGGGCAGCACGGGCAGTCTGGAGGCGGTGGTAGCAATGGCTAGAAGCCGGCCAAGGAAGTCGACAAGATGAAGTCGACCAAAGACAGCAGTCGAGGAGGAGGAAGCCGACGTCGGGAGTGCTGGCTATGCGGCGACCCCAACCACCTCTCCTTCGAGTGCCCCGACCGCAGTGACTACGACGACGACGACGACGACGCCAAGGGAGGCCGCGGCAGGTCTGGGAGCCGCCGTCCTCATCGAGGAGGGAATCAGCCGCGCAAGGAGAAGCATTCAACCAAGACGTCGACCTCGGCAAGGACGCCGACTCGTCTGCTGGCGAAAAGGGGCGGGATGACAAGAAGGCGTCATGCTCGCTGGTCGGCATCGTGGAGCCGACCGTCTCGCTGGCGCCGGAGGCCAGCGAAAACTTCCAGGAAGTAGCCGCAGCAGTGCAGGTGAACCCGGCGGTGTCCCTTCTCGACAGCGGCTGCTCCCACCACGAAATGGGGACGAAGGAAGTCTTCTTCGACCTATAGCCGAGCGGCTCCATCAAGCACGTGCGTGGCTTCAATGGGGCGCTGCAGGACGTCCAAGGCCACGGCAGTGTCGCCCTGCAAGGTGAGGTTGGGAAGCAGGTGCTCATCCCCGACGTGCTCTACGTCCCGGGTGTGTGGGCAAACCTGCTGTCGTCCGGCCAGCTGAAGGAGAACGGCGTGAAGCTGCAGAAGGACGGCGACGGGATGCTGCTTGTGTTGGCAGCAGGAGAGGTGCTCGGTCGGGCGACGTACTCGGGACGTGTCCTCTGCCCCAGCCTGCGTCCCTGCTTGACGAGGTAGATGTCGCAGAGGGTGATATACATGGGGGGGGGGGTTCTTGGCGCAGAACTCAGCAGGAAGCGCAGCGCGGTAGCGAGTGTCACTAGTGCGGAGGTGCGTAATGAGGTTAGTGACTGTGGGAAAGGCAGCAAGGTCAAGGAAGAGGTACGGTAGCATGAGGCGGCTCAGTGCAGCAGTAGCAGGGGAGGAGTAGCGTGCAACTACAACGTCGTACAAGGTCTGAGCACTCTTGTACTGACTAAAGTGCGCACGCTCAGAGGTAGGGAGGTGGTGACGCACAGCAAGACGTGCAGCAGCATCGCGCGTGGCCCACAGGGAGCGAAAAGTGGCGTCAGCATCAGCAGCAGGGGCAGGAGAGGCACCAGAGGTGAGGTCAAAGAGGGAGAGACCGTCTGCCCTATCGCACTGTAAGAAAAGCTGCAGGTCATCTATCCAAACGTCAAAGTCAATGGCCCGACCCTCATTGTCAAAAGCGAGGACACTAGGGGTAGCCATGACAACAGTAGACTAGCAGCGCAAACAGTAGGGTAAGGGCACTGCAGTGACAGGGGCGCTGCTCTTACCGGATAGGGCTGCTCGGGCAGCTCGGCGGTGCGGGCGGCTCGGGTGGAGGGCGGCTCGGCAGCTCGGCTGCTGGGCGGCTTGGCGGCTTGGCTGCTGGGTGGCACGGCGGCTCGGCGGCTCCGCTGCACGGCGGCTCGGCTGCTGGGCGGCTCGGCGGTTCGGCTGCAGGGCGGCTCGGCGGCTCGGCTGCTCGGCTGCTGGGCGGCTCGGCTGCTGGGCGGCTCGGCGGTGCGGCTGCAGGGCGGCGCGACGGTCGGCTGTTCGGCTGGGTGTGGCGGCTCGGGCGGCTCGGGTGGCGGGCGGCGCTGCAGCAGGCGACGACGCCTGCGCCGTAGTGGTGGCGGCGGGGCCGCGAGGGGACGGCGGCGAGGCCGGCAGAGGCAACGCCTGGGCCGCAGGTAAGGGCGGCGGGGCCGCAGGTAAGGGCGACGGGGTCGCAGGCAAGGGCGGCGGGGCCGCAGGTAAGGGCGGCGAGGCCGCAGGCAAGGGCGGCGGGGCCGCAGGTAAGGGCGGCGAGGCCGCAGGTAAGGGCGGCGGGGCCGCAGGTAAGGGCGGCGGGGCCGCAGGTAGGTGGCGGGCCCGCAGGTAAGGGCGGGGCCGCAAGTAGGTGGCAGGGCCGCAGGTAGGTGACGGGGCCAGCAGGTAGGCGCCGGGGCCGCAGATAAGGGCGGCGGGGCCGCTGGTAGGTGGCGGGGCCGCAGGTAGGTGGCGGGGCCAGGAAGGGCGCCGGGGCCGCAGGTAAGGGCGGCGTCAAGGCTGCAGGGCGGCGTGAGGGCCGCAGGGTAGGCCGCGAGGCCACAGGGCGGCGGATCGGGGCCGGGAAAGGGCGGCGCGAGGGCCGCGGGGTAGGCGACGAGGCCGCAGGGCGGCGGGTCGGGGCCAGGAAGGGTGGCGCGAGGGCCGCGAGGTAGGCGACAGGGCCACTAGGGCGGCGCGACTGGGTCGAGAAAGGGGAGTGCGACTCGGGCTAGGGCTGAGCGCGCTCCGGGCAAGAAAAAAAAAATTCGACTTGGTGGGCCCTGGGAACAGTTCCCACGAGGGAACCTGCTCGATACCATGAGAAAACTGAAACCAGAATGAATGAACTATGAAATAAGTGGGTACAAGTACTAACCCTAATTGGGTTGTACCCCCTATGGGATACCCCACTACAGCCTACACAAATGCATAAGCTATAATGTTCTGACACTTTTTCCTATCTAAAAGAATATTAGCCTTTTCTAATTCAGTGCGACGAGAGCACTGACCGAACGCGAGGGAAACACATGATTGTGTACCTTGCGTTTTTTAAGAATCACCAAATCGCATGCGAGTTCTTTACATTGCTGACGGTTGAGCGGTGTGATGCAGGGTCTCTGTTCGAGGTGCTTCTGAACCATCTCCGCTCCGCAGCCGTCGATGTGTCCAAGATCGTCGGCATCAGCACGGATGGGGCGTCGGTTATGACCGGGAAAGAAAACGGATTGGTGGCGCGTCTTCGGGAATACGTTCCGCACCTGTTTTCATGCCCATGCATCGCCCACCGGTGTGTATCAAGTTTCCTAGTTGGTGTGGTTTTCTACGTATAAGATTAACCCATTACCTCTTGATTTGTATTCCCTGCATCCTACAGTGAGGCGTTGGCTGTGAAGGACGCCGCAAGGTGGTGCGCACAGTGGCGACGCTTCTCGGAAACTCAATCGTGTGGAGTGAGCTGTTCAAGTACCTTCAGCGAGTGATCTACCAGACAAACCTCGAGGTCCAAGGAATCCACATGGTTCGATAGCTGTCACGAGGTGATGCGGTGCGCACGCTGTGCAAGGTCCTCGGGGCTTGCATCGTGCTGCTCTGGGAGCACAACCACAAGGCCTACGAGATTGTGACATGCTACAAGTTCCAGTTCTGTTTGTTTTTCCTGGCCGACGTTCTGGCCGACATGAACGACCTCAACCGCTGCTTCCAGAGGCGTGAGGTGAGATTGGATGCTAGTATAATGATGAGATGGGAAGTATAATGCTACAATTTTGCTAATCCTACTCCCTGTTGTTGATTGCATGTGTGACAGCTGGATGTGACTGAGATTTCGAAGACTATTGAGTCCACCACGGGTGATGTGACGGAGCGCTACTTGATGACAAACAAACCGTTCGGGGGCGAGGAGAAGAGTTGGCTGGTAAACTTCCTCAAGGTCCACAAGGAGGGTGGAGGCAAGCAGGTCCGGGTTCGAGGCGTGGACGGAGAGGGACGCCCAATCAACCACCTCTACACCATGCAGGAGAGGAAGCCGAAGGGCCACAAGCAGGGAAGCACCTACGCAAACTGCGTGAAGCTGTGCCGCCAATTCGCCCGCGACTGCGTGGACAACCTGAACGAACGACTGGATGACCTTGGGAAGCTGGGCCCAACAAAGCTGTTCCGGGCAGGGAAGTGGCCGAAGATCAAGGCCCGGCGAGAGAAGAAGTGCAAGGAGTGGCTGCACGGATGCAGCAGGCTCTTCCGCCACAAGCTACCGAGATTCGACCTCAAAGCAGTAGAGAGGGAGCTCCCGACATTCTGCGCAATCATGGAGTTACACCATGAGATGGAGAGCTTCGCCCAGGGCCTGAACAACTTTATTGGAAGCGTAGACTCAAAGAGGTAGGCCACTGCAACTTGTTGATTTACTAACCTATTTGATTTTTATGTTGGTGATTATTAACATGTTGAATTCCAACTTGTTGATTTACAAACTTGTTGATACTTTTACATTGTCACCGCATATGCAAGGAATGCATATGCAATAACAATAGCGTGCGGTGCTGAAGAAGTAGTATTAGACAAGTTAGGAGTATAGTGAAGTAGATGAATAGGAAGTAGCAGCCTTAAGCGCAGTGTCGGTTGCTAAGGGGTGTAGAAAGGGGGGGAATATGTGAGAGCGGGTTGGGATAGCGGGGGAAAAGCACCGAAGGGCGAAATGGGGATTTGAACGAATCCCAACCTTGAGCCGCACATTGGAAACGTGCAAACCGAGGTCGGGTAAGTTCACCCACGCCAACTCACTCGATGCCTATTGTGTGGTATTCTCTCAGACTAGTGGATAGTTGTCATACTAGCCTCAACACGCAGCGACACAGCACTAAGGGGGAACCTGTGGGGTGAGGGAGCAATCCCGTTCATACCACACAATAGGGTCTAGCCTGTAGTTATGGCTAAGTACAAGCTTCGTTGGGGCCAGGTGTTTAGTCGCCGCGAAGAGGAACGGGCGCGGCGTGAGCCGTCACGTGAGCGCGGGCGATCCTTGGAGCGCTCGCCGCGCAGGCCGGCTTTTTGCGCACATCGAGTGCCGGTTGCTAGGGACCAGCGGGCGGAAGGTAGGCCAAGAGTAGGAGCGTACGCCGTTAGCGCGGACGGAGACGCGGGGCAGAGAGAGCGGGATCGCGGAGATAGCGGGCATGGGAGCGACGAGCGCCGCGCCGTGGGAGAATTTCGCTCGCCGGAAGGACGCGGGCGCCGCCGCGATGAGAGAGGCCGCTGGCGTGGCCTCGAGAGGTTCAACGCCGACCGAGCGAGGGAAGCCGCCCACGGGGAAGAACCGTGGGAGACTTCTAGTGAGGAGGAGGCGGAAGAGGCCGGTGCACACCTGGAGCGAGCGGCCGAAGACGCTGACGGAGGGGATGACAAGGAGGAGCCCGTGACTGGGATCGGAAACGCCAAGCCTGGAGCGGCAGAGGTCGTTGGGAGTGCAAGCCAAGTGGGAGGATCGCAATCGGGACGGCGGGAATGGCGCGAGCGGGATGCCAGCCATCAGGAGGAGCAGAGCGCAGAGGGGCTTCGTCGACAGGAGCGGCGGGAGTGGGGCGTGCGCGTCGGTGCCACTAGTAGTGGGACGCAAGGAGAACGCAGCAGAAGTGACATGGGCGGGCTGCGCGTAGCAAGGGAAGAACCGCGGCAGTGGGAGCGGCAGCCTGTCAACCCTCGCGCACTCGACGGGCGGCGGGCGCAGAAAGGCGGGGTCGGAGACGGCGCACTATCGCTAGGCAGGCAGGTGACGCGCAAGGAAGGCGAAGAGGACGAGCCACGCGCATCCAGTCACTACTGGCGGCGGGGAGAGGGACACGAGGAAGGGCCCAGTTCGGCGGAAAGGCGCGGCCAGCGGCAAGAGGAGCGAAGCAGGGTGGCGTGGATAGCCGGCCCGCGGGAGCAGTGGGAGAGGAGGACGGGCAGGGAATTTCGCTCGCCGCTCGGCAAGCGGCAGCGGGGAAGGGAAGATGGCGGGGACGCACGCGTGTTTGTGGATTGGCGGCGGCAGGAGAGGGGCGCAGCTTGGTCGCCGTCGCCAGAGAGGTGGCGGCAGCAGGAGACAAGCGCGGCATGATGGGGGGGTGCTCGAGTCTCGCTCGCACGAATGCGAGGACGCACGGATGAGGAGAGGGGCAGAAGGGAAGCTTACGGGGATGCGGGCTGGAGCCGGTGATGGCGAGAGAGCAGAGCGGGTGGAGGAAGCTTAGAACATGGTGCGGAGCAGGCCCGAGAGGCCAGGGAAGGGTTGGAGAGGGCCAAGGAACGAGGGACGGAGGGAGAGCGGCTGGGAAGGGGCAGGGAATCATGGGGAGACGGGCGGGGAGGTACGGCCAGCGCGACGTGGGTGGAGGTACCCGCCAGGTTCTCAGGAGACCAACGAGCAGGGCCTGCCCTCAAGAATTACTTGGTGCAGGTGGGGAATGTGAAATACCGGTGTGACTGGCAAGGCATGGACCCGATGGACTTCTTTTTGAGCCTACCGAACACACTGGAGGGAGAGGCGGAAACCCTATACCGCATGAGGATGAACGAGCTGCTGTGGAGGGCGGGGAGATACGGGTAGGATCCAATTCCCGGGGCACACGGCAGAGCGCATAAAGGAGTTTCAGGAGTTCAGGAGGGGGCGGACAGAATCCCTACTGACCTACTACAACCAACTGATCAATCTGGCGGAGGATGTGAAGTCTTCGGACAGCAGCCTCCTCATCAGCAAGTTTCTTGGTGGCCTGGACGAGGTGCTGGGGGGAGGACTGAGAATGAGGGTGTATGAGTTGAGGGCAGAGGCGGCGCTGGAAGAGGTGTTTGACCTGGCAGAGAGGGTAGAGCTAGCACAAAGGAAGTACGAGGCCTACCTGCCAAGGCCGGTAGAGAGGAGCCGCAGTCCAACGTGGGCGGCAGGGATGATACCGGAAGAACGGGGGAGGGTGGACCCGCATAGAGAAGAGAGAGCTGACACGCGGGCTTGCTACCGATGCGGACAGCTGGGGCACCTCCGCCGAGAGTGCAAGAACTGTGATGGCTGCGGGAAGCCTGGGCACAGGAAGCGAGAGTGTCCTGAGGCAGCAAGGTGTGAAGTCTGCGGGAAAAAGGGGCACGAGGCCAATGAGTGCTACCAGCAGGAGGGAGGGGCAAGGAGGAAGCCAGGAGAGCTGCAGCGACAGATCAGCAGGCTGCAATCTCAACTGCAGGCCATGGGGCCAGGGTGGGGAGCGGAGGCAGGGATGTATGCCAGGGACGAGGAGGGAGAAGGGGTGGAGCCGGACGTGCACTGTGCCCTCATGGCATGGAGAGGCAGGGAAGAGATGGGGCTGTGCAGCAGGGGGAAGGATGGCAGGCAGGAGCATAGCAGGAAGCCACGTGAGCAGGGGTCTAAGCCGGATGCGCTAGCGGCAAAGAAACTCCCAGCCCGCCACCCGCAGGAGAGGCTTGTTGGTGCAACCCTATGGTTTGCACTCGGCTTGTTGTCCGTGTGCGTGCATGTGTGTGTGTATGGAATGGTATGAGGGCATGGGATAATATATATTTCATGCTTATAATTGTGTGTGAATGTTGAGTCATGATGTCGAGTGTGTGTGTCGAGTCAATAGCGAGTTATCGCTAGACGCGTGTTACGCAGTCGTTTGTGTCTCGCGCGCGGTTTCTATTTTGTCGTGCGCGGTTTCTATTTTGTCCTGTGTCGAACGTTCGGTGTGTCGCAGGTGTGTGCAGCAGACCCATCAAGAACTCAAGGATGAGTTTGTGATGAAGAGCCCGAGCCTTGGTGTCAAGCATCAAGTGATTTCGAAGCTCGCCAAAAGGGTACACCTCAAGATATTGAAGATAGTTACATTACTTTGTGTAGTGTAACATTTCACTTGGTGTAGGCCCTAGTGAAGGGTAGTTTCGAGACCCTTCGTGATTGGGGACAGTGCGGTACTGTTCCACATCACTGTACCTCGGCTCTTGGGGTTTGTAGGAGCTGGGAGTCATTCCCAACTCGTAACTCTTCCTAACTCTTCCTATCTTGTGTTCTAAGACTATAGTGGCTGCCATAGTGCCGTTCGTTCAAACTGCCGTTGTGTCGTCAATACTTGGTGAAATCGTGCGATCTAAACTGCCTATTGTAGGCGACAATAAGACGCTCCAGATCCAAGTTGAATCAAGTCATTTGAAGTTGTGAACAGAACGCTATGAACGTTTGAAGCTGCTGTACAGAAATCCGGCTTTGCACTCTATCTTTCATTTGAGCCTACTGTGACTATAACAAGTGGTATCAGAGCCCCTTGGAGCAGTTTCGACGATGGATGGACCTGAGGAAAGGGGTGGCAGAGGTCCTGGTGGCAGAGGAGAAGCCCAAGCTCAAGGCCAACCCCGTGACTCAGCCATGGCGCCCGTGCAACCAAGTGTTGGCCCATCTAGGGATGAGCCTAGAGTGTTTGGCCTTGACAAGTTCAATGGTGACAACTTTGCTGAGTGGTCCTTCAGAATGGAGAACATATTTGACCACTATGACCTGCTGGAGGTGATGGAAGGAACGGAGAAGCGTCCCGAGAACGACCCGGAGAAGAGCCCGTGGGTGCGGAAGAGCGCACAAGGCTACCTCCTACTTGGGCAAGCGTTGGGGAGCAGCCAAATCCGTCACATCAAGCCTTTCCAGCGTGAACCAGAGAAGGGACCAAAAGCATCGGCTGCTCTCAAGGGTGTACACGCTCCTGCAACAGCGGCGGTAGCTGTGGTGTTGGAACGGCAAATGGCGACGTTACGAATTGAAGAGGATGAAGCGGTTGAAGAAGGGGTGCAGAAATTCTTCGACTTGTTGACGCGGCTTGAGGGAGTGGATTTGAACTATAGTGAGCTCGAAAAGAAGACCAATTTGCTGGCCCTACTCCCTGAATCATGGTCCTCGGTCATCATCAACCTGAATCGCGACTTGCCCCGCCTCTCGCTCGAAGACGTGAAGCGAGCTATCCTTCAAGAGGATTTCCGCCGCCGTGAGTTGGCGAGTGCGGATGGCGCTGGGGCAGCGAGCATCAGCCGTGGATATGGTCGAGGAAGAGGCAGAGGACGAGGGGGAGGAAGGCTTGGTGGCAGCAACTTCGGCGGAGGCCGCGAGAGTGGCGGTTACGGCAGCGACGACAAGAGCTACGGGCGCGGTCACGGCCGATTGGACGGCGAATGCCATTATTGCCACAAGAGCGGACATATGGGGCACGATTGCTACAAGCTCCCTAATGGTTGGACCCCTGCTCAAGGCCAGGAGCGTAGAGGAGCAGGAGAAGGGAGAAGAAGAGGCCGTGGAGGTCGTGGCAGTCGCGGTGGCGGAGCTGCAAACATGAAGAGCGGAGACAATGACAAGGACCCGAGTAACGATCGGTACCCGGGTCTATTCTACTTCGTGTAGACGCAAGTACTGACTGGTCCAGAGAAGGATGAAGGCTTTGAGGAGCCAGCAGCTATGGGGAAGGTGACACTACACCCCCTGGACTATTGGGTGATCGATAGTGGCGCTACCTATAGCATGACACCTCGCCTGGACTTGCTCACCGAACTCGAACCGTCACCGGTGAAGCATGTCACATCGGCTTTGGGGCAGCGAGCGGAGGAGAAAGGCATGGGGCAAGGCCATGTTTAAGGGTGCTGATGGGAAGATGGTGGGCCTCAAGAATGTGCTTTGGGTGCCCAGCCTTGCTGCCAACCTGATTTCCGTGCGGCGGTTGGCAAAGGCCGGCATGGACATGAACTCGAAGGGAGCCAAGACCTACACCGCAAGGCTTGGCGATCGGATTCTTTGGGACCTTCATGAGGACAGAGATGTCTACAACGAGATGTGGCAGATCCCTGTGGTCCCAATGCCTAAGGAGAGGCAAGTGGCAGCAAGCGTCAGCACCAAAGGTGGAGCGGTTGGTAGCGGCGATTGCGCGGACGGTAGCGCTAACGAGAAGGAGTCCAAGAAGTGCAAACTTGGAGGGACCATCAAGCTTGGTAAACCTATGGAGAAAGGTGCAGCAGCCAAGGAGCAGCAAAAGGGTGAGGAGAACCCCGAGGCAGCAGCGAAGGAGGACTACGGAGAGAGTATGTGGGGCGCTATTGCGAGCGCGGCATTCTCCAATCCAACTTCGGCTACGGGGGAGTGTGATTGGCTCACCTTGCATCGGCGCATGGGGCATGTGGGCCTGCCCATCTTGCAGCAGCTAGTGAAGAATGAGATGGTTGCTGGCATACGTGTGAAGAGGGAGCCCGATGAGGTACTTGGCTGCCCGACGTGCATGCAAGCCAAGTTCACCCGTTTCCCATTCTCTAGTTCGGAGGCAACGGCTAAGGCACCACTTGATGAGGTGGTGATGGACGTGGTGGGCCCCCTGAAGCTTGGAGCTGCTGCAGCTGAGTAATTCCTCACTATTGTGGACGTCTACACCCGTATGACTTGGGTGTACGTGCTGGCCAAGAAGAGCGACGTGGCTGAAACGTTGAAGGCGGATTGGTTCCCGATGGTGGAGCGGCAACAAGACCGTCTAGTCAAGTCAATCCGCACCGATCGAGGGGGAGAGTTCCTGAGCAAGGAGTTTGGGTTGTGGCTGAAGAAGAATGGTATTCGGCACTCCCTCACCATGCCATTCTCCCCTGCAATGAACGGCATCGCCGAGCGAGCGAACCGCACAATCACGGAGGCGGCACGCGGGTTGCTCATTGAAGCCGGGCTACCCGAATATTTCTGGCCTGATGCGGTGCGGAGTGCGTGTGTGGCCAAGAACAGAGCCTTGACTCATGTGGGAGCAGAAAAATGGGTGCCCTATGTGGAGTGGCTAGGAAGGAAGCCAAAGGTGGATATGCTTCTGGTGTTTGGGTGCATGTGCATGGCGCTCGTGCCTAAGCATCTTCGGCACAACAAGCTTGGTGCCAAGGCGGTGTGGGCCGTGGGGCATGGCTCAAAACAGCAAGGGATGGCTTCTTTGGGACCCATTCACCAAGAAGTTCTTGGTGATCAGGGACTGCAAGTTCATGGAGAACTTCATGTACAAGGATTGGAAGGCGGAGAATGAGGCGAAGATAGGCGTGCGGTTTGGGGAGGTGAAGAGTTCCGGTTTGGAGCATGTGGAGCTGCCTTTGGAGCTGAGCAGCAGAAGCACTACCACAAGGCAATCTTCCCTTGTGAATGGGGGAGAGGAGGCCAATGATGCAGAGGAAGAAGAGGAGGAGGTGCAGCAAGTGAGCGAGCGTGCACCGTCAC